GGGTTGGGGGGGACGGGACGGGGAACCGCATCCGCGTGTGTGTGTGTGTGTGTGCGTCCCGCGCCGGTGGCACCGGCGCCTGCTTCCCCCCCCCGCCCCGAGCCTGTCCGGTCCATCCCGGACGGGCCCCCCCAGCCGCATCCCGCTGTCAGCCAGCAGCCCCCAAACCCCTCGGGTTCCCCCTCATCCCCTCCCGCTGCCAGCCCCGCAGCCCCGGGGGGGGGGGGGGGGGGATCGCCTTCATCCCGGTGGACGGGGGGGGGGGGCGTCGGAAGAGCGCGGAGACCCCCGTCGAGGAGAGCCCGAGTCAGCGCGTCGGCACCTTGGCTCTAGACTGCTTACTGCTGCGTAGGGACAGGACAGTAACAGTCTACAGTCATGGCTACTGAAGCATGACCCACCGCCGGCACCGGCCCCGGCCCCGCCGCAGCGCCGAAGGGGGGGGGAAATGAGCTGTCCGTGGTGCTGAGCCGTCGGGGAACGCTCCCCACCGCCGCGTTGTGTGTGTGTGTGGGGGGGGAAGGCAGAGGAAAGGGTTGAGGATGGGGGGGGGGGGTGTCCCGGTGCCCGCCTGACCCCGCTCTCTCTTTCCCCCCCTGCAGACACCCCACGGCGGACGCCCCCCCCCCTTCCTGCTGCAGCTCAGGTAGGGGGGGTCCCACCCGGCGGGGAGGGGAGGGGGCGGCGGGGAGGGAGATGTAGGGGGGGGTGTGGATGGTACCGACACTCCCCCCCCCCCCTTTAAGCACCGGACACCCCTCATCCCCCCACTTCGAGCCGCGGGGGGGGGGGGGGGGGGTGTCGGTCGCGCTCGCTGCGGTGGCGGGGCCGCCTCCTCGCCGTCGCCAAGGCACCGGCTCCGTGTGTGTGTGTCTGTGTGTGTGTCCTCCGCCCCCCCGACGCCGCCCCCCCCTTCCGACGCCGCCCGGGCGACCGTGGCTTTAGATTGTTACTGTGCCGCTGGGGGGGTAACAGTCTACAGCCATGGTCGCCGGGCCCGGCGGACTCGCACCGCGGGCAGCAGCGGCTCCCCCATCACCCTAAACACCCCCGACCACCAACACCACCTTTTAGCCCGTCGGGGGTACCGGAGAGCGTTAGGGTCCCGTCGGGGGCTGCCCGCCTCCCGGGGCAGTAGGAGCTCACATGCAGGATGCAGCTCACCGCACATCAACTCTTACTGTTCGGGGGGGCGGGCGCCGAGCGGCTCCTCCTCGGACAACGGGAACGGCGGGACCCCTCCGTGCACCGACAGCACTGTCCCTCCCCGGCCCCGCAGCCCCTCACCTGCCCGGAGCCGCCGCCCCATGTCCCGTCCGTGTCGCCGTCGGGGATGCCCGGGGAAGGGGGCAGCGGGGCCGTTCTCGGTAGCGGAGCTCGGGCCGGCGCGGCGGGGACTGAGCGGGGCCGGGCGGCGGCCGGGGGCGGGCGCAGGTTGCACAACCGGCCCGGCGCGGCCAGGAGATTCCTGAGCGGCGAAGTCAGAGCGGCCCGGCCTGCCCCGGCAGCGGGCACCGGGCCCTCGGCGGCCGGCGGCGACCGGTACCGGCCAGGCAGGGCCCCGCGCAGGGGCCACCGGGGACCCAGAGCCCCGGGAGATGGGGCTGGATGGGGAATGGTGACCATGGAGATGCTGGACGGGAGGGGGGGACAGGTCCCAGCCCCTCCCCACAAACAAGGACTTTTAATCCTAAGGGTGCTGCAACTCCAGCACGGGGGTTCCATAGGGGTTCCCCACGGGGTGCCCCCTAAGGCGGGGGTTGGCCTTGCCCATGCTCCCCTTTAGGAGCACCCATCAGCTCTGTCCTCACCTGGGGGGGGGGCACAGGCTAACGCTGGGGTCCCCAGGGCCATGGCACAGCAAGGGGGTACCACAGGCACTGGGTCTCTGCCGTGTCCTGCTCCATTCCCTAGCAGCGATTCCCTTTGCTCCCCGCTTTATCCCACTGCTGTGGATGGCAGCTGGCCACGTGCCACGCACCTCCAGGAAGGGGATTTTGGGGCAGCCCCACCACCGCTCAGGTAAAGTCACAACCAACTTGTGTTTAGCACAGCAAAAGTTGCTGCTGGCCACCAAAACCATTCCCTGCAGGGGCTGCGGCATCCAGGACCCTTCCATGGGTGATGGGACACATCCCATGGGCAGCACCGTGGCCCCTGGACCCCATGCTCCAGCCCTGGGAAGGCTCCGTCTGCGCTGTTGTTGTTTTGAAGGCCAAGTCTCTCCTGCTGACATCCCTGGAATCAAGTTCTGTTTCCAGAGTCCTTAAAAATATCCCGGATTTCTGACACTGGGATTTGTCTTCCAATGGTGCTTCCAAGCCGCCGGGCCCGCAGCCAGCCATCAGCACCGGGGGATGAAGGTTGTCCGGCTCCCGTGCTCCTCCTCAGCATGGAGACTCCCCAATTGCACACTGGGACAGTGCTCAGTGGGGTGCAAACCTCAGCCTGGCTCCCGGCAAGCATCCCTGTGCTGGGGTGGGATCGATTTTCCAGGGGGATATCCAGCAGCCGTGACCCTATGGAGCCCCACAGCTGATGATGGAGCTGCTACAAGTGTGTCCCGTCCCCCCCCCGGCTGGGAGCTCTCCGTGCATCCCTATGAGAGCCCCCGAAACCCAGCCTGTGAGCCGCTCCCAAGGGGGATCCACGTGGGAACGGTGGGGATCCGGGGTGGGTTGAGGGGTGCAGGAGAGGTGCTGCTGCCTCCCCCCGATGAAGGCAGGGTCGCTGCCCGCCCGCCGCACTCGCTGGTGTTGCCATCCCACAGCTCTTGGCGAAAGGAGCTTTTGTGATTCAGCCGTGTTTATCCCAGCCCCGCGGCCCGGCCCAGCGTGGGTTTCCATGGAAAACTTCCATCCAAAACAAGGAGAGAAGGAGCTACAGCGGGAGTGACTCAGCCACAACTGGAAGCTTCTGCGGGTGAAGCAAGACAAGGGGAAAGGAAGGGGGGGACTGGTCCCAAAGGCTTCGTCCCGCTCCCGGCAGCGGGTCCCAGGGATGGCCCCGGCTCTCTCCCGTTGGGGGGAGCTGTACTGTGTAACCATCCGTGGAGCACCCTCCTGGAGCACCCCACACCCCCCCCAACAGAGCCTCTTGTGGGGACAGGGGAGGAAGAGCATGAGATGAGTAAGGCTCAGACCCAGCAGGATCCGCACCCGGAGCCCACCGGGTGGGCAGCAGAGGAGGGCCTGAGTCAGCCACGGCACAGGGGAAGGGATGTGGGTGTCTGGGGGTGGCAGCAGCACTGGCGGCACATGCTGGGCTCCTCCTGGGCTGCTGGGAGAGGGCTGGGGGTGCTCTGGGGTAGGGAAGGACCCCACTTGGACACGGGTGACTCCCATAGCACCAGGCTGGGTAGCACTGGTGGCTGGCCCCAGGTTGGGGTTTGCTCTGTCACCCCCCCTTGCTCAGGGACCCCAACTGCAGCACAGTGTTTTGGGGGAAAACCCAGCTCCTCTGGGCCCTGTGGGGTGGGGGGAGAGGAAACCCCCGTAGGCTGAGAGGTGGGAGGACACCGGTCTCTTGCTTCCAGGCTCAACTGCATGGGGTAGCATGGACCCAGACCTGGATCTGGGACAGGGGCCAGCATGAAGGTGGAAAAAGAGGTATTCCCAAGGCAAATCCCTCTGGTGATAGACACAGCAGCCACTTCCCTCCTGCCATTGCACCAGAGGCCAAGCACCACCTTCCCCTGCTGCTCTCATGGGGGGGGGGTCACCTTTATTTGTCGCTATGAATTTCAAGGGGTACAGGAGCAGGTCCCGCAGCACCCCCGTCCCGCAGCACCCTCTGCCCCAGCTCCCCGCAGAGCCGGGCTCCGTCCCAAGAGCAGGGAGCTGCGGCGGGACCACGCCGGTGCGTGCCTGCGGGCCCGCAGTGCAGGCGCCGGGGCTGCAATGCCTCCGCCACGCCGCTGGGCAGGGAGAGCTCCGTGGTGATGGAAGAGCAACCACTGAGCTCTCTGCTGCCATCCTGCCTCCGCAGCACAGACACAGGCACAAGGTGCGTCTCTCCCCTGCCAAAAAGCGGCCTCTGGCACCCCCAGTACGGTAACCAAGGGGTAACAGACACCAGAGAGGTGACACAGTGCTGCGCTGGGAGGTGATGGAGCAGGCAGGCTCTGCCCGAGCCCCACATCCTCCTGCCACCACAGAACCAGCAACAAGGCAGAGGGCAAAACACATGCACGAGGACTTGCTTCTGCTTGGGATGGTTTTATCCCAGTGCAGCTCCCAGGCCCGTTCCTGGCTGAGCAAACACTGAAAGCGCTGCTGGTCCCTGTCCCGAAGCCTGCTCCTTCCACAGCATCCTCCATCCCTCGCAGTGCACACACCACACTGCACAAACAAGGGGCAAATGAAGAAGTTTCACCTAATTTTTCTCTTTTACCAAGTCCATTGCACTGTTCCCCCAATGAGAGCCGTGATTAGGAGCCCTGGGTATGGTACCTCTGGGCTGCAGAGAGCACCAGTCAAGCAGGACCCCTGAAATTATAATAATAAAAGATTTCCATGTTTCTGGCAAACACAGGAACCAAAAGCACAGCGACAAGTTCTTGTTCACAAAGGCACTTGGGACAGAGGATGATACAAAAGGTCCCAACACACCGAACCAGCAGGTATTTCAATCCTGAAAGGAACACCAGCCACACACGAGAGGCTTTACAGACCCAGACCAGCTGGAAGGTTGGCTTAAACTGATATTAAAGCACATGAACTTTTGGGGTAAGAGCTGCAGAAGCCGGGTGCGCTGCAGACCTCTGCTGGGGGACCCTGACTTTGAACACCTATTTAAGTGTCAGAGCACCTCGCACAGGGTCACCCTCCTGTCCTCAACCCCATCGTACCCACACACTCGTATCTATAACATGCCTGCAACAGGGAGATGACAAAGGGCCATTCAGCCTGGACGAACACTGCAGAGCAGCAGGGAGGTGTCAAGAGCTCTTTGGCCCCTCTGGGGGTCACAAACACGGTGCTCTGTCACCACCCCACGGCTCGCTACAGCACCGTTTATTACAGAGCCTGTCATCAAACCGTCCCAGCCTCCAAGGGCTCAGCCTGTCCCTGTGCAGGGCAGAATCGGTCCAAGAAGTCCAGGTACGCCTTCCTCTGTGCTGCAGCCGCAGGGACAAAGTGCCCGCCGGGGTGGCTGAGGACAACAGGCTCCACAAAGCACTGCGCCAGCTCCCTGCTGAGAGAGGCCGCGATGACAGCATCGGTGTCCCCCACAACGTGCAGCGTGGGCAGGGCGATGGGCTCCCGGTAGAAGTGCCCGTGGGCCGGGGCTCTGCTGGCAAAGCCGGCCACCAGGATGGCGAAACCCACCGGGAAGCGGGGATCGCCGCGGGCCCGCAGCGCGCACACCATAGCGGCCAGCGCCGCGCCCTGGCTGAAGCCCAGCAGCCCGTCAATGGGCCCGTGCTCCGCCAGCGCCGCCGCCACGGCCGACAGCGATTCCTCCAGCCCCGCCGGCTCCGCCGCCGCTTCCGCCGCCTCAAAGGTACCAGGCCCGGAGAACCACCAGCCGCGGGGGGGGTCGTCGTTGCCGTCCTCACCGCCGCCGGGCACGGTGTGCGGCGCGCTGACCGGCACCAGCTCGGCGCGGCCCCGCAGGGCCTTGCGCAGCGCCCCGGTGCGCTGCCGGAACCGCGGCCCGCTCTGCCGGTACCCGTGCAGCGCCAGCAGCCGCAGCGGAGCCCGCTCCGACATGGCTCCCGTGGCCGCCGGAAGCCAACTGAGACACTTCCGGCAGCTTCCGTCCCTTTTCCCGCCGAAACGCTTCGCGCTCATTGGACGGCGCGGGGGAAGAGGGCGCCCCCTACTGGTGGGAGGTCGCGGAGCCAAGAAGGATGCCGCGGGAGCGGCGGGATGGGACCTCCGGTGGGGCGGGACGGGACCCCCGGTGGGGCGGGACGGGACCTCCGGTGGGGCGGGACGGGACCCCCGGTGGGACGGGACGGGACCTCCGGTGGGGCCGTGCAGGAAGGCTCGTCCATCGTACTGTCATCCAGTCAAAGTATGGGGTGCACCCCATCCATGCAGGTGCTGGTACCGGCAGCCCCCGGTGGTGCTTACCGTCGAGGAGGGGGGAACAATGGTGCTGCCCGCTGTGCCTGTGCCGGGTCCGGGAGCATGGCGACAGAGGACTGGGGTGCAGGCTGTGCTCAGGAGGTTGCTGGGGTGCTGATGCTCTGCCCATCCTTACTGGTGCTCTGCCCATCCTTACTGGTGCTCTGCCCATCCTTACTGGTGCTCTGCCTGTCCTTACTGGTGCTCTGCCCGTCCTCCACTGGGCTGGGGGGCACGGGTGGCTTCCCCTGCAGCAGAGAGAAGGGAGTCAGAACCGGGTCCCAACCTTGACCTGAGCCGTGATGAGCCTGCCTGTGCTCAGCCCACAGCACCCCATAGGGCACGACTGGGGGGATCCCCCCCCTCCTGGGGAGCCGTGGAGCCAGATGGGTGCTCACCCCGGTAAGGACCGGGGGAAAGACTCGAGGTCCCCTCCTCTCCACCGGGCTGGCACCGGCCCCGTTACTGTTCACCCCGAAGGAAGCCACAGGGTGGCGCTTTTGGCACATGGCACCGGGCACCGCATACACCGGGTACCGCATACACCGTATGGCACCGTGTACCGTACGTTCAACCCGTGCCAATGCTCCCAACGCCCGTCCCTTCCACCCCACAAGGCCACCAAGAGGCAAAGAGATGCAAGAGAGATGGCAAAGGGATGGAGAGGGGAGCTGGTGGCACCATGCTGCCCACCTGGGCCACCCTGCCGCGGTGCAGGGGCTGTGTGCCGGCATGGTTCACCGTCCACGGCCCCAGGGACTGGCTGGCATAGAAGTCCATGGGGTAAGGTTGCTGCCACTCGATGTCCTGGAGAGCCACCATGGCCTGTGGAGGGGACAGGAAGAGTCCAGGAGAGGTCCCAGCCTGGTGTGCTCAGCAGGGCACTGCTGCAGTGAAGCTTGTGGCACAGGGAATCCCACTGGTTTCACATGAGATTGGGAATCCCAGTGGCACAGCCCGGTTTGGGGGTCCTCACCTCATAGGGTGTCAGCAGGGGCTTGCTGAAGGCTTCTCCCCAGTCGATGGACAGGCGGGGACAGGCTACCTGCACCCACCTGGAAAGGAAACGCATGGTGATAAATAGGGATGAGGATTTTGGGATGAAGAAGCCACAAAGTCTTGCAGCAGCCCCCTGGAAGGAAGCTGAGGCAGAGCCACCCTGCCAAGGACAACCATATCCTCTCCTTGCATAGGAAGGACAAGGGTGCACAGCGCCAGCAGGGCACCTTCCAATGGGAATCAGAGGCCTGGACAGCGATGAGGCACCCTGGGGACCCCAGCAGAAGGGAGTTTGAGGGGGGCTCAGCAGCACTCACGCATCCACATCAGGGAAGAGCTGCAGCTTGCTGGGGAAGATCTCAGACAGCAGCACCCTTACGAAGGGCCGACCCAGGGCATGGAGACGCGATTCCAGGTGCTGCAGGAGGGAAAAAGGCACCACAGGGTTAGCAGAGCCCAGAGAAATGTCCCTGGCAAGCCCCCTACGGCCCCTTTTCCTGGCCATCAGACCCTCTGTGTGTCCCAACTCTGCCCCACAGCCTCATCCCCACGGCAGTGGCAAGGCACACGCAGCGACAGGGATGGTGGCCGTGGCTCCAGCTCCATCCCAGCTCTCCCCAGCGCGTGCCTCAGCCTAATGAAGTAATTACAGCTCAATGACAACAATCTGTTCTCGTTAGCGGCTGCCTTCCCTGGGCCGACCGCCTGCTGCGGGCTGCCTGCGGCCAGGAGCTACGGGAGGAGGAGGAGGATGGCCCAGGAGGGGCCAGGGACGGACGTCCTTGTCCTCCGGAGCTGGCACTATCCAACCCTGTGCCCAGCCAGCCCCTGCCATGCCTGTGTCCTGCTGCTGCAGAACAGAAGCTGCTGGGCCCTCCCCACTCAGTTCTGCCCGCTGGTTCCTCCTGCACTGCCCCAAATCTCACCTGCAGCTCCCCAAAACCTTGGGCTCAGGGCACCCCGCTCCCATGGGGCTGAACTCCCCTCGCCTGGCCAGGGTGCAGGAAGTGTCAGTGCGATGGCTGAGCAGGGATAGTGAACCCTCTTGGAAGTTCATCCAATTAAAGCAAAGCCAGGGAATTAATTGCCAAGCTGCCCATGCAGGGGGGTCTTCAGGGCTGGCCAGCTCTCCCCAGCAAGGGGCAGGTTTAACAAGGCCTTCATCAGCTGCTAATTGCCCTGCCTGCTCAGCTAAGCCTAGAGGCCAGTGGCAAGCAGTGGGCTGCCAGGTCTACCCTCACCCCAACAGCGAGGCCAGCGCCAGTGGTACCATTCTTTCCCCTTCCCAGGGGCAGTGCCCAGTGTCCACGGGGAAGGCGCTGGTACCTGCAGGATGCTGGGGGAGCCCTGTCGCCCCAACGTGCCCAAGATGAGCCCCCAGGAGCGGGCAGTGGCAGCGGTGCGGATGGCGTCCTGCCGGGCACGGTGCATGCGCTCGTGGCTGTAGTGCTCCTGGGAGAACACCTTGCTGTAGGGATCATACCTGCAAAGCAGAGCCCATCACCGACCCCTTCCCTCCATGCGGGCCCCAAATTATACCCTCCCCTCATTAGCACTAATTGCCTCCCAGGGCATCCCTCCCTTTGGCTGCAGAAGAGCCCAGCCAGCTCACTCAGGGTACAGAGAAGGGGACAAGGCGAGTGTCCCACCTCAGCCCCCCAACGTGGCAGAGCCTGAGCTCCACACTCAGCTCCGTGCAGCGCTCCCCCTCATCCCAGCTCATCAATTATGAAGAAATCTTTGATTTGTTGCTTTGTTTGACGAGGAGAATTTTAATCAAATCCCACTCGGGTTTCGGCAGCTTCCCCAAGCGCCATAAACCTGACGCGCGCCTCCCGTTAGTAACAAACGACCTACTAGGAAATTCAGATTTCACCAAATGGCCCCAGCCTTTCACTCTTGATATTTCATCTGCTTTCAGCAGCCTCATCATCGCACTTTATGGCCTCTGCCTGCAGCAGCCAGGGCTTTAATGGCTGCACCTCCACGAGCTTTCACAGGTACTTGTCAAAATGTTTATATTCAGGCGGAGTAAATGGCTGGTGTTCATCACCCCCTGCACCTCTTCACCCCTCACCTGCCTGTGCCCCTGCCTGCAGCTCAGCCCTCAGGTTTGGGGTGCTTGGGGGGGGGGGATGGCGGGGAGAACCGGTCCCTGGCATGCTGGGGAAGCTGGGATGCTCCTCACTCTGGGGACCAGAGTGGTACCCGTGGGCTGTGCGTACCTGTAGGCAGGTATCCCGGGGTTGGCAATCATGATGGACTCCAGGTGGAAGCGCCCGTCGCCCAAATACCTGCCGAGAGGGAAGGAAAAGCTATGGCACACATTAAACAGCAGCCCCCATCCATGGGCCTGCTGGTTTCCTAAGCCACAGTGTGTGGAGATGCTGGGAATGCAAGCTCCCGCACTGGGATGCAGGGCAGTGGGCAAAGCTCCCCATCTCCATGCAGCCCTCTGGCGGGCTGGGGTGGGAGAAATGAAGAGGGATGCTCCTGGTGGCCAGGAGCTGCTCCATCTCAATGCCTGCTTCCAGATGTTGCTGCTTCCATTTCTAATCAGATTTCAAGTCAGCAATTACATTTCAAAGCCTTTCATTCAGCTGCCCTAATGGAGTGAGGGCTTGGAAAATGAATTCAGACGTAAAACTTGACTAGATTTTGCCCTTAATTGGAGAATGACATTTTGGGAGATCAAAGCTAATTTGTCTGCAAAAGTTAGCCCCAGAGACATGGGGGGAAGAAGAAAATAACAACATGGGGAGGATGCAGGTACAGCAGATGCGTGCACTTGAGCACCACAGCTCCATCGGCACTGGGAACAGCCCACCCTTACCAAAGCAGTGCCAGCCCTGCCTGCTCTGACACCCCTGGGAGACAGGGAAAGCAGCACCTCTCCCTTGCCACTGGTGTGGCTCAGGGTGAAGCCAAAGACCCCCCCGATCCCATGCCCAGCAATCCTAAATCCCATCTCCCACACTGCCATGCCTGGGAATGCACCAGCACAGCATTCCCAAACCCACACCTGGGCTCCCCGGCTCCCCCCAAGGGTGGGGTCCTTGTGTTTATTTATTCTGGAGCACACTGTATTCACAGTACATTAAGCATTTCCATTACCTAAAATAATTAGGTGATAGGAAGCGAAGTGCTCCCTCTAATTTGCTGTCCTTAAATAAAATTAATGTTGCCGTGATGTTGGGCCCCGGCCATTTGTCTTTTCCAATTATCCACCTGCCCTTCCATCTATTATCTATTCTGATATACGACTCAATTATTTCCTCCGTGCTAGGAGCACACACCACTCCGAGCAGCACAGGGAGATGGAGGGGGCCCATCCATGCCCATGGATGTCCCCCCCCCCTCGACTCACTCCATGCCCAGGCAGGGGGTACAGGCAGGAGGAGCCTGGAGGACCTCAGGTACTTACACAATGGCATCTGTATCCTGGGCAAGCCATGGTGATGTGCAGCCCAAAATCTCCCCTGGGGACAGCGGCTTGCACTGGGGCACACACACCTTGTACTGGGAGCGCAGCTCCTGCGCTGCTGCCTATGGGAGACGTGGGGTTAGCAAAGGGCAGACCACGGCATCGAGTGTGGCTGAGGCTGGTGATCCTTGGCAGTGTTGGGGACACCCCAGCCCTGGCAGTCGCAGTTGTTGTGCCTGAGCACAACGGCAGTGGAGGGGAACCGCTCTGCTCGGGGCAGCACCCGGCTGGGTAATGGTCCTGCCCAGCCAAAACGCTCAGCAAGGCTTAGCCAA